ATCAAAATACCACCATCATTCTTCACTAAACTAGAACAAAACAATCCTAAAATTCATACGGAACCAAAAAAGGGACCACATAACAAAGCAAAAAGAACAAATCTGGAGACATAACATTACCTGATCTCAAATTATACTATAAGGACATAGTCACCAGAACAGCATGGTACTAGTATCAAGATAGGCACATAGACCAATGAAACAGAATAGAGAACCCAGAAATAAAGTTACAGTCAACTGATAATCAACAAAGCAAACAAAACCATAAATTGCAAAAGGACACCCTATTCAACAAGTGGTGCTGGGACAATTGGCAAGTCATGTGTAGAAAAATGAAACTGGATCCTCATCTCTCACCTTATATAGTAATCAACTCAAGATGGATCAAATACTTTAAGACGTGAAACTATACAAATTCTAGAAGATAACTTCGGAAAAACTCTTCTAGACGTTGGCTTAGACAAAGACTTCATGACCAAGAACCCAAAAGCAAATGCAACAAAAATAAAGATAAAATATGGGACTGGATTAAACTAAAAAGCTTCTGCAAGAAAAAGAAACAATCAGCAGAGTAAACAGACAACCCACAGAGTGAGAGAAAATCTTTGCAATCTATACATGCAACAAAGGACTAATACCCAGAATCTACAAGGAATTCAAACTAATCAGAAAAAAAAATCCCATCAAAAAGTGGACTATGAACATGAATAGACAATTTTCAAAAGAAAATATACAAATGGCCAAGAAACATGAAAAAATGCCCATCACCAATGATCAGGGAAATGCAAATCAAACCCACAATGTGATATCACCTTAGTCCTGCAAGAATGACCATAATCAAAAAATCAAAAAAAAAGAAAAAATGTTGGTGGGGATGTGGTAAAAACGGAACACTTTTAAACTGCTGGTGGGAATGTAAACTAGTACAGCAATTTTGGTAAACAGTGTGGAGATTCCTTAAAGAACTAAAAATGGAACTACCATTTGATCCAGCAATCCCACTACAGGGTATCTACCCAGAGGAAAAGAAGTCATTATACAAAAAAGATACTTGCATACACATGTTTATATTATAGCAGAACAATTAGCAATTGTAAAAATATGGAACCAGTCCAAATGGCCATCAATCAATGAGTAGATAAAGGACTTGTGAGATAGATAGATAGATAGATAGATAGATAGATAGATAGATAGATAGACATAGATATAGATATAGATATGGATATGTATACACATATACCATGGAATACTACTCAGCTATAGAAGGAATGAAATAATGGAATTTGCAGCAACCTGGATGGAACTGGAGACCATTATTCCAAGTGAAGTAACTCAGGAATTGAAAACCAAACATCATATGTTCTCATTCATAAGTGGGAGCTAAGGTGTGAGGATACAAAGGCATAAGAATGATACAATGGACTTTGGGGACTCAGGGGAAATGATGGGAGAAGGGTGAGGGATAAAAGACTACACACTGGGTACAGTGTACATTGCCCAGGTGATGGGTGCACAAAAATCTCAGAAATCACGGCTAGAAAACTTATTCATGTAACCAAACACCAACTGTTCCCCAAAAAACTATTGAAATTAAAAATAAATTTTTTTAAAAAAGGAAGAAAGAAGCTGTTGAACCATGACAAGACATGGAGGAAACTTAAATGCATATTACTAAGTAAAAGAAGACAATCTGAAAAGGCTACACACTGTGTGAATCCAACTATATGACATTATGAAAAAGGCAAAAATACAGAGACAGTGAAAAATCAATGATTGCCAGGAGATAGGGAAGAGGGAGGGATAAATGGGTGGAGTACAGAGGACTTTTAGGATAGTCAAAGGATTCTGTATGACACTATGATGGTGTAATGGTAGATACGTATCATTATATATTTATCCAAACTCATAGAATGTACACTATGAAGGGTGAACCTAATGCCAACAATGGACTTTGGGTGACAATGATGTGTGGGTTCATCTGTTGTAATAAATAGACTGCTTTGATGGGAAATGTTGATAATTGGAGAGGCTATTGATGTGTGCAGTGAGGGAGTATTTGGGAAATCTCTGTGCCTTCCTCTCAATTTTGCTGTCAACCTAAAACTGCTCTTAAAATTTTTAATTTACAAAAGAATAAAAAAGAAGTAAGTCATTCAAGTAAGTGGCAAACTCGTAAGTGGTAGCCTCATTTTTTTCTGACTTAGAAGTCATCTTACTTTATTTTCAACATTTTTTATAAAGTGGTGTTATTTTAACTTTTTTCCTTGGTTTAAGCAAGTTTTTGAGAACCTAATAAACTATGAGTAAATTCTTAAAGAGCCCAAGTTACAGAAAGAACAGAGCAGAATCAACCCCAAAACACCAAATGTATTATAATTTTCAAGCACCAACAATAAATTTTTGAAAGGTTGAATATGTTTAAGTAAATGAAATAGGCTATCAAAAGTGTACACCATGGAATACTATGCAGCCATCAAAAGGAATGAGACCATGTCCTTTGCAGGGCCATGAATGGAGCTGCACTCCAATATCCTCAGCAAACTAATACAGAAATAGAAAACCAAACACCACATGTTCTCATTTATATGTGGGAACTGAACAATGAGAACACATGGACACGGGGAAGGGAACAACACATCCTGGGGCCTGTTGGAGGATAGGGTCGGGGGAGGGAGAGCAATAGGAAAAAATAGGTAATGCATGCTGGGCTTAATACCTAGGTGATGGGTTGATAGGTGTAGCAAACCACCATGGCACACATTTACAAATGCAACAACCCTGCACATCCTGTACATGTACCCTGAAACTTAAAATAAAAATTAAAAAAAAAATACAAGCCAGTAATAGAGAGCTGAAAGTATAAAAGTTTATGTTTGCTTTTTATTTTTCCACTTTGGTCTGCAGTGGTTTTATTTTTATCTCCGTTCAAAGCCTGACATTAAGAAAAACTATTTTCCCCTTCTCAGCTTCACTTTATCAAAAATCAAAATCTTCAAATATATAAGTAAAAAGAATATATAATACATTTTCATTTACCCATCAGCAACATTCAGCAGGGGTCAACTTATAGCTACTCTTGCTTGTCAATATCCGCTCTTTCCACTACTTCACTCTCCTTATAGGATTACTTTTATGTAAATTCTAGACATCATTTTAGTTCATCTGCAAATATTTCTCTATTTACCTCTAAAGGCATTCTTTAACAATGTATAACCACAATACCATTACCATACTTAAAAACTATTTCTATTTTCTTCAAATGTCTCATGTTACTTTACAATTTGTTTTCATAAGGATCCAAATAAGATCCATACATTAAAGTTGTTTTCATGTCCCTTAAGTCTGTTTTTATCTATAGATTGTTCCTTTATCTCCCACCCCTGCAATACATACCATTTGTACTCTATTTATTAGGCAACCGGACCATTTATCTTACGTAGTTTACAATAAACTAAATTTTACTGATTGCCTTTCTATGGTGTCATTCAACATGCTCGTGTATCTCCTGTAAATATTGCAAATTGGTAGCTAGATCTAAAGGCCGGTCTAATTGGTAGTTATATCCAAAGTTTGATTTTTTTTTCTGACAGTAATATTTTATAGGTGGTATTATATACTTCTATGAAGTGGCATGTCTGCTTGTCTCTCATTTGTTATGTTAGCAACAATTGATAATAACTGCCTAGATTCATTATTTCATTAGAGCTTGCAAAAATAGTAACATTTCAATTCTGTCATTCTTTCTTCATTCTCTGGTTAAAGGTAGCTCTAAAAAGAATTTTCTCTCATCAACATCTGGTTATTCTTAGACATAATCTATAAAGGAAAAACAGGATAAATGCTTGGTTCTTCTGTTTCATTCAAAAGAGTACATTCTTATGGATCCCTAACATCCTTCAAAGGTGTCCAGTGACAACATTCCTTTTAAATTAACATTATTAGAAACTGATAGAATTAAGCATATTTGAGGCGTTTTAATCTACTGTCTTTGTTTTTATTATTGATTCTCAAATAGGGTGACTCCTCTGAGTCTCTTTGACACATCCTAATAGTCTTTCAAATCTGCCTTGCTTTTTAGTAAGAGAAGTTGATTTTCCAGGCTCATCTTGTACAATATTCAACCCCAAAGTCAGAATTAGATACTTTTTGCAGTGAACTTCAACTCCTTTGAGGGGAAATGTCTACAGAGCACAATCTGAATATTACATTTCCTCTTCATATTGGGTTTTATGTTGTTTCTATATACTTATAAGTGATTAGAACTAGGAAACTATTGTTTTTCTTTTTGTTGGGAAAATGATTCATGACTTCATACTGATACTTTAACTTCAAACTCGTATTATTGGGTTTTCATTTATTTTCTTCTACTATGCTATTATATCTTCTTTACTCCATGGAACAAATTCCATTTTCAATAATGTCAACAAGCTTACTAACTTGGTTGATCTTAAAATATGTAGACACCTGTCTCACAATAACAATTCAATTGCCAAAAATGTAATTTTAAACAGCTCAATATATGTTTTTGCATGGGTTTTATTTTTGTCCTTAGGATATCTCACAAAGGTTGTATAGTCAAATATCTGTGTTTGAGTAAATGATATAATTCATCTCTGTGTGATTATAATGCCAACTTAATATATTTATATTTACATTTCACCTCTTTTACCAAAGTTTTATGGGTATTGATGTTTTAAAATTAAATTTTAAATTTAATTTTAAATAATGATATAATTATGTAAAATATTAAATGTTACCAGGGTCAAACCTAAAATAGGTATATTCAAATAAAATGTAGCTTTTGTTTCTATAACCTTTTCCCCATTGCATCTCTCCTCCAGAAGCAATTGTTTGCTATTATAGTTTTGTTTTGCTTTTAATTTTTGGTTTATGTTTTCATTTTTTAAAGACAAGTCAATACTTACAGTATATTAAAAATTATCACAAATTACATCATTTGCAGTTCCTCCCATCGAAGGTGAAAAAATCTGTATCTTTACCTCTTTAAATGAAGCTGGCATTGTGGGATTTTTGATCAACAGAATGCAGCAGAAGTAACACTGTGGTATTTCTAAGTCTTTGCCTCAGAGGACCTTGCAGCTTTTGCTTTTATTAGAACCTGAGGCAACAATGAAAAACCGTGTGGAGAGAGATCCAGCTGTCCCATGTCTTCTAGGCATTCCAGCTGGGGCTCATCCATGTGAGTGAATCCAGGATGCTGAGTATCAATAGCCATAGGACTCTGCACAGACAAGAACGGGAGACAAACCACCCAGTCAACCCACAATCACATTAAATTAATAAATCATTGTTTTAAGACATGAAATTTGGACGTGTTTATGTTTTATGAAGCAATGTATGTATAAACCTCAATATATTATACTCATTTAACTTCATAATTTTTTTAAAAATTTTACTATTGTCCGAATATTACTTTATAACAATATATAGAAATATGCATCATTCTTTTATAAAGCTGCACAATACGTCATCATGAGCTTCCCACACTAGGAAACTTTCCTTTACTGATGGCACTTGGGTCTGTTTCCATTCTTTCACTAGTACAACAATGCTTCAGAGAAGAGAGTTGTGCATATGTCTTTTTTACATTTTTTAACATGGCTATTTTGATGAAGAATAAAATAGAACTTACAGAAATAAGACACAAACTAATTAAAATTAAAAACTGATATAACTTAAGTAAACATTTTTGAAGACAGACTGGTAAATTGAGATATAAATCTGTAAAATTATCCAGAATGCAGCAAAGAGCCAAAAAAAAAAAAAAAAAGAAAGAAAAAGGAAAAAAGGAAAAGAAGAAAGAAAGGACAAAAAATAGGTTAAAAAGTGACACTGGTGATGGGAGTTAAAGAAGGAGATAAGAATCAGGGGAAAAACAGTATTTGAAGAGTTTATGCCTGAAAATATTTAAAACTGATGAAAAATAGAAATTATAGGAGTTAGTTACACAAATACTTGCAGTTAAATTAAAAGAAGTCCTTACTAGGTACGTTATAATAAAATTGTAGACACCAAAAACAAAGAAGATCTTTAAAAAGGCTGAAAGAAAAGAAAGATTACCTACAAAAGAACCAAATTTATCCTGACAGCTGCTTTGCCAATAGCAATACTGGAAGCTAGAAGCAAAGTGAATAATATATTCAAAGGGATGGCAAAAAATAACTGTCAAGCTAAAACTGTACACCCAGAAAAAACTGTCCTTCCAAAGTGAAGGCAAAATAAAAATATTTTCAAGTAAAAAAGAAATCCTGAGAAATTTTACCACCAACAGACTCTCATGAATAAAGTCTAAAAAAATGTACTTTAAGAAAAGAGAAAATGATCCAGAGAAAAGGTGTAATGTAAAGGGGCAATAGCAAGCAAAAAATTAGTGTAAACATGTAAGTAAATATGTCAATATGAATGTGTTTAAAAATAATAGTAACAAAATTTGTAAGATTATAAAAATAAAATCATACTAAATAGCAGAGAAAAATACAATGATATTTGTGAAATTGCTTATTTGAGTTAAAGCCTTCTAAGCTACTTGTTTTGATATAAAGAAGGGTAAAGATATTGACTAGTTTTAGAATTAACTGTGCATATTAAAAAGAGTAATAACTAAAAGCATAAAATAAAATATGTAGTATGAAAATAGAATGCATAAGTTTCAAATAGCTAGAAAAATAGGCATCAAAGCAATTATATAATCTCAAATAATAAAGAGGAAAAATGAAACAGAAAATGTAGTACAAATATAGTCCAAAGAAGATATGATAAAATTAAGAAGCCTAAATAATTCAAATGAATTAAGCCTGCAAATTAAAAGAAAACCATATTCCAAAAAAATAAATAAATTTCTGCCTCTATGTTGCTTAAAAAAAGACACACATACATTATAAAAAGAGAAAAAGCTAAAAACTAAAGACTGAGAAATTATCTAAGAGGTGAATACTAACCAAAGTGAAGCTATTGTTGTTTCTAGATAAATTAAAACTAGGGCAAAAGGCATTAATGAAGAATGCAATTTACTAAAATGATGTATTAAAATCTTTTGGCACAAAATAATATTGCTTCAAGATCCATAATGAGACAGTTGAAAGAAGTATGTAGCGAAATTGATAAATTCACCACCATAATGAATCTCACTGATTAGTACATCAATCAAATAAAAAAAAGATCGGCTAAGACAGAAAAGATTTGAACCACAAAATTAACAAGCATGATCAATGGACTTCTATAGAATCATGTATACAACATTAAAAAATATATTCTTCTGCATAACGGGAAATTTTTATATACTTTAAGTTCTGGGATACATGGGCAGAACATGCAGGTTTGTTACATAGGTATATATGTGCAATGGTGGTTTGCTGCACCCATTAACCCATCATCTACATTAGGTATTTCTCCTAATGCTATCCCTTCCCTAGCCCTCCAACCCCTGACAGGCCCCGGTGTAAGATGTTCCCCTCTCTGTGTCCATGTGTACTTGTTCAGCTCCCACTTATGAGTGAGAACATGCAGTGTTTGGCTTTCTGTCCCTGTGTTAGTTTGCTGAGAATGATGATTTCCAGCTTCATCTATGTCCTTGCAAAGGACATCAACTCATCCATTTTTATGGCTGCCTCATGTTCCATGGTGTATATGTGCCACATTTTCTTTATCCAGTCTATCATTGATAGGCAATTGGGTTGGTTTCAAGTCTTTGCTATTGTGAGTACTGCTGCAATAAACATATGTGTGCATGTGTCTTTATAGTAGAATGGTTTATAATCCTTTGGGTATATAACCAGTAAGGGTATTGCTGGGTCAAATTATATTTCTAGTTCTAGATCCTTGAGTAATTGCCACACTGTCTTCCACAATAGTTGAACTAATTTGCACTCCAACCAACAGTGTAATAGTGTTCCTATTTCTCCACATCCTATCCAGCATCTGTGGTTTCCTGACTTTTTAATGATCACCATTCTAAATGGCATGAGATGGCATTTCATTGTGGTTTCAATTTCCATTTCTCTAATGACCAGTGATGATGAGCTTTTTTAAAATATGTTTGTTGGCCACATAAATGTCTTCTTTTGAAAAAAGTCTGTTCATATCCTCTGCCAACTTTTTGATGGGGTTATTTGTTTTCTTCTTGTAAATTTGTGTAAGTTCCTTGTAGATTCTGGATATTAGCCCTTTGTCAGATGGATAGATTGCAAAAATTTTCTCCCATTCTGTAGGTTGCCCGTTCATGCTGATGATAGTTTCTTTTGCTGTGCAGAAGCTCTTTAGTTTAGTTACATCCCATTTGTCAATTTTGGCTTTTGTTGCCATTGCTTTTGGTGTTTTAGTCATGAAGTCTTTGCCCATGCCTATGTCCTGAATGGTAGTGCCTAGGTTTTCTTCTAGGGTTTTTATGCTTTTAGATCTTATGTTTAAGTCTTTAATCCATCTTGAGTTAATTTATGTATAAGGTGTAAGAAAGGGGTTCAGTTTCAGTTTTCTGCATATGGCTAGCCAGTTTTCCCAACACCATGTATTAAATATGGAATCCTTTCCCCATTGCTTGTTTTTGCCAAGTTTGTCAAAGATCAGATGGTTGTAGATGTGTGGCATTATTTCTGAGACCTCTGTTCTGTTCCATTGGTCTATATATCTGTTTGGGTACAAGTACCATGCTGTTTTGGTTACTGTAGCCTGCAGTATAGTTTAAAGTCAGGTAGTGTGATGACTCCAGTTTTGTTCTTTTTGCTTAGGATTGTCTTAGCGATACGTGCTCTTTTTTGGTTCTATATAAAATTTAAAGTAGTTTTTTTCTAATTGTGTGAAAAAAGTCAATGGTAGCTTTATGGGGATAGTATTGAATCTATAAATTACTTTGGGCAGTAAGGCCATTTTCACAATATTGATTCTTCCTATCCATGAGCATGGAATGTTTTTCCATTTGTTTGTGTCCTCTCTTATTTTCTTGAGCAGTGGTTTGTAGTTCTTCTTGAAGATGTCCTTCCCGTCCCTTGTAAGTTGTATTCTTAGATATTTTGTTATCTTTGTAGCAATTGTGAATGGGAATACACTCATGATTTGGCTCTCTGTTTGTCTATTATTGGTGTATAGGAAAGGTTGTGGTTTTTGCACAATGATTTTGTATCCTGAGACTTTGCTGAACTTGTTTATCAGTTTAAGGATATTTTGGAATAAGACAATGGGGATTTCTAAATATACAATCATGTCATCTGCAAACAGACAATTTGACTTCCTCTCTTCCTATTTGAATACCCTTTATGTCTTTCTCTTGCCTGATTGCCCTGGCCAGAACATCCAATACTATTTTGAATAGGAGTGGTGAGAGAAGGCATCCTTGTCTTGTGCCAGTTTTCAAAGGGAATGCTTCCAGCTTTTGCCCATGCAGCATGATATTGGCTGTGTTTTTCATAAATAGTTCTTATTATTTTGAGATACGTTCCATCAATACCTAGTTATTTAGTGTTTTTAGCATGAAGGGGCATTTCCTGTATTTCCTGAATTTGAATGTTGGCCTGTCTTGCTAGGTTGGGGAAGTTGTTTTCCAACTTGGTTCCATTCTGCCTGTCACTTTCAGGTACACCAATCAAACATAGGTTTGGTCTTTTCACATAGTCCCATATTTCTTGGAGGCTTTGTTTTTTCTTTTTCATTCTTTCTTCTCTAATCTTGTCTTCATGCTTTATTTCATTAAGTTGATCTTCAATTTCTGATATCAAGTGGAAGCACTTGATCAATTCAGCTATTGATACTTGTGTATGCTTCATGAAGTTCTCATGCTGTGTTTTTCAGCTCTATCAAGTCATTTATATTCTTCTCTAAACTGCTTGTTCTACTTAGCAGTTCCTGTAACCTTATATCAAGGTTCTTAGCTTCCTTGCATTGGGTTAGAACATGCCCCTTTAGCTCAGAGAAATTTGTTATTACCCACCTTCTGAAGCCTACTTCTGTCAATTCATCAAACTCATTCTCTGTCCAGTTTTTTTCCCTTGTTGGCAAGGAGTTGCAATTTTTGTAGGAGAAGAGATATTCTGGTTTTTGGAATTTTCAGCCTTACTGTTCTGGTTTTTCCTCATCTTCATGAGATAAATCTACCTTTGGTCTTTAATATTGGTGACCTTCAGATGGGGTTTTTATGTGGACTTCCTTTTTGTTGATGTTGATGCTATTCCTTTCTGTTTGTTAGTTTTCCTTTTAACAGCCAGGCCTCTCTTCTGCAGGTCTGCTGGAGTT